CCTAAATATCATGAAAGATAGGTCCTGATGCTGACAACAGAATTTGTCTCATTTCTTTTATTTCCAGCTCATTTTGTGTTTTCCAAATTAGATGAACTCTCAAGCAATTAGTAACAGTTGATTCTGATAGGCCCAGATTGTACACCCTTCTACCAGCGCCACATCAGCACAGTGAGAGTGATAACCCGAAGCGCCTCCTTGTTCACAAGTTCGGCCCTGAGTGGATGGTAGGAGTTCTGAAATCCAAATAGGATCAAGAAAATCAATCAGGGGAAGGTCACTCGGGGTAATAAACAAGAGCAACCACATGGATCAAAGTTCTCGTACTGTGTGTATGTCCTATGAGAAGCTCTTTATCCACTGAATGCTATAATTCTCAGAACAATTCTAAGACATGGGAATTGTTGTCCCCGTTTAGTATACTTAGTCTACAGATACTGTGGGAAAATGGTATACGAGCGGAGCTCTTAACCACTTCATTACACAGCCAGGAGTGGCAGAGGTAGGGCTACATCCCAGGCCTTGAATTTTCTCTTTCATTATTATGACATTTCTGAGAGAAGTGAGAAAACAGTAAATATCGGCTAAGTATACTAAACAAGTAGCAAAACTGGATTCAAATCCCTTTCTGTCTGCTTAGCAAGTACATGCTGTTTCTAGTTCCCCTTCAGAAGAAACAGTATGAAATTTCTTTTCTGGGATTAAAAGGAAAACACACATTAACGTAGGGTGCTACGACATTCCAGCATACAATAATCAGGATGGAAGTTTCAAAATAGGTTTTGACGGTTTCACCATAGAATACCATGGCATAACCTTGCTTGGGTCCTATATAGGCCAGAACCCAGTTAATGTTTCAGAATAAATTCTCCTTGAGGAGAACAAATGAAACATCTATTTATTTTATTCTGCAGATATGGAGTTCAAAGTAATCACAGTTTAAATTAATCATATATACAATATACATGTTTAAAAAGTGGTTAATATGATAACTGACTACAGATAGCAGCATGTCATTTTTTAGGAAAAAAACAATTTTACATGATATTTATAATTAATTTGAGGTATGTCTTTTCAGGAAAGGGTTATTCAAAAGCACAGTGTTAGAGCACAACCAATCCAAATAGGGCTGGCCTTAAATCTCGTCCTGCACCTGGAGGCCTCCATCGTCAGTTCATGTGTCCCAGCACTTTCAATTATCAAAAGATCCATCCTAGTGCCGTATATTTTAAGCACAGTTGAAGAATAGTGAAGCAAAAAAAAAGCCTTTCAACCATGGGAATTTAAAAGCAAAGGGCCCTGAAGAGGCGATTTCAAAACCCTACTCATTCAGTTCACTCTAAAGCTTAATGACATGCCCTATTTGATACAGTTAGGGGAACTCTTTCATCAAAAACTTTATATGAGACTGGGAATTGCAATACTGGGTTTGTAGGTTTGCTCCCTTGGTCATACTGCAAGGTCCTGAAGGAATTCTAGTTTATCTTTTAAAAGCAAGTAGAATTAGGGATAATGATAAATGGTATACTAATGACTACTACTATGTTTATGTATTTGAGAACTTCCTATAGGCTGTGCTTTTTGTATTTTGCATTCTTTGTGTTTTATTTGGTCCCATCCTTTGAAATAGATATTAATATTCCATTTTATAGGTGATGAAAATGAGTTCCTAAGAGGTGAAATAACTCGCTGTGTTTGCACAAGTATTTGGCAGAGCCACGAATCAAACCCAGGTCTCTGCCTATAAAGACTGATCTCTTAACCACTTCATTACACAGACAGGACTGGCCGAAGTGGGGCTGGATCCAGGTCTTGAATTTGCTCTTTTATTTTTATCACATTTTTAAGGACAGCAAAGCAATGTAGATGAAGGACTTGGTTTCTCAGGAGTCCCAAAATATGTGAAACAGGTCAGCCCTCTGGTTCCACCTGAATTGGGGTACTAACAAGGACTCAGGACCCACCCCCATGAGTCCCTCTTCCTCTCCTGTTGCAGAATAGCAGATGAGAGGATCTAGGCAGCCTCAGTTTACCCAATGTAATCAATCTCAGGCTGAATGAGAAGAAAAGGGCCTGGAAAAGTTTAGAAAATGGAGACAAACCAAATGATTTTTCTCCTGTGTGCATGGGTGTGGACATTCCCAGCTCTCTCATCCAGGAGAACTGCTATTTCCGCCAACAGATGACATGATTTACCAGACAGATTAAGATGAAATCAACATCTAAGAACAAGAGTGTGCATTTTCTAAAGATCACTGGATAGTACTAAGGTGTTTTGCTGGTCAGATTTCATCTGCCCTTCTGTGTCCCAGCCTTTTGCCCTTTCAAGCCCAACTCTATGGTTCTGTTCCTCTTTCCCAGGCCAGAGTTATCTTTATTGATAAAACATATAATTATTTACAAAAGCATGGCCACACAGTATGGATGGAGAGCTGGCCCTCTAGTTGGCATAAACTATTTTTCTAAAAAACTACTGAACTCTCTGAAATTCTACATGCTTTACTTCAAAAGCTCCAATCATTGGAGGATGAAAAGTTGCCATAACCCAGAATTTTTGACAGTAATGTGAAGGGGAGATGGGGTCGTAAATGTGTTTCTAATGATCTAATAGTACTATATTCTTGAATGTCTCCAAGGCACCTAAGACCAGCTTTTCCCAACCTGACCTCATATTCTTCCTACACAAACCCCATGTGAACCCAGTTTTTCCTCATGTGAACACAGTTACAATGATTGACATCCCAATCCACCTGCTCATCTAATGTGGTATCACCAGCCATCTTCATCCTTCCTCTCTTCCCCACTACCCCACACAGTCTGACATGGAGTGATGCTGAATATACCTCAGAAATCTCTCTCAACCATTCTTTCCCTTCAATTCTCACTCCTTTGCTAAATTTAGACCTAGCTAATCTCTTATCATGACTAATAACATAAACTAACTGCTCTGCCTCCAGTTTCTTCCCCACCTACACTATCTCCCATCCTCCACCCTGTTACCAGATCTTATCCTGTCATGCTTTTGCTTAAATATCTTCAGCGGCTCCTCACTGACTACAGGAAAAAGTCTGAGTTCAGTGTGACATTCACATTTCTTGACAAGATCCTTCTACTTTACAGTATTTTCTCTCCCCAACTCTTTTCATCCTTTCCCAATTCAAACATACACATTCATGGTCAATGTCTTTGGTCACACTGGGTTTCTTACTGTTTCCCTAAATTCTAAGGACTTTTGTATCTTCTTGCCTTTTATGTTTTGTTTTTGTTCTTGTTCTTGTTTGGAGACAGAGTTTGGCTCTGTCACCCAGGGTGGAGTGCAGTGGCATGATGTCTGCTACATCAACCTCCGCCTCTCAGGTTCAAGCGATTCTTCTGCCTCAGCCTCCCAAGTAGCTGGGATTACAGGCACCCGCCACCACGCCCTGCTAATTTTTGTATTTTTAGTAGAGGTGGGGTTTCACCATGTTGGCCAGGCTAGTCTCGAACTCCTGACCTCGGGTGATCTGCCCGCCTCAGTTTCCCAAAGTGTTGGGATTACAGGTGTGAGCCACTGAGAGTGTCTCATTACAGTGGAATTTCCTCCTTGGAGTACTTGAGCATCCACTAATCCTTCAACGGACAATCATGTCTCATTCCAATCTTGCTCCACCTATGCCCCAAGACAATTCATCACACCGTCATTAACACCTATCTGTAATGTATTATGGTTGTGTGTGTGCGTGTGTGTGTGTGTGTGTCTCCCACTTCTCCTATTTCCAGAATTTGAGCTCCAGATTCCAAGCTTGTATTTGTCTTGGTATTTTCATTTCCTTGCTCAGTGAATGCTCATAGTAAATGGTCAATAAGTGTTGCTGAATGAATGCACAAACTAATGAACCACATTTGAGCAAAGCTTATTGTGAGTAGATCCCAGACAATGCTATGAAGATATTAGAATATTATATTAATTATATAATAATTTGAACCAAGGCACAGGGAACAAAAAGCAGAGACTAAGGATAGAAAAGATATTTAAACTCTCTAGGATGTTAAACAGATTTCATTTGTAATAGATTGGTTTGGTAATGTGAGGATGAGTCCTAGAGAAAGCTAAATGAGAAGGTAAAAGAGTTTTCTCCTGATTTACTCTGACAGAAATACGTCTTTGAAAAAAATCAGTTTAAAAATTCAAACAGTAATTGCTTTCTGTCTTTAATATTTCTATGCAACTCAGTCCCAGTTTCATGTTACCTATTGTTAAACTGATAGAGTTCGGGTTTGCTAAAAAGTGTTTTGCAAACACATCGGGATTAACATTAATCAAACCACTGTGTAAAAATACCAACTTTGAGAGCCCAGGATCCAGCTCCCTTTGACAGGGCTCTACCTGCCGCTTTCTGTTGCTAGATGCTTGGAGTCAGCGTTAAGCGCATGCGCCTTTACAACCATTCAATTGCCATGTCGAATCCAAATCAGTGATTCCTGTGGAAACCTCTGGGCGAAACCAGCGTGTCAGAGTCCCTCCTCTGTCTCAAGAATTTTTCCCACAAGACCCAACTAATTTAATTTCTTTCCTTTCCCCAAACAACAAAACGAAACAAAACTGTAAAACAATCATTTCTTCAGTCCCAAATCAGAACTTTTGGCAAGGGAGGAAAGAGATCATGAATAATACGTGGCTATAGATCTAGAATCATTTTACAAATATAAATGTGGGCTCATCTTTTGCCTTTGTTGCTACATGAATGATCTCAGTCACTGAGATTAAGAGACTGAGCAAATATAGTAGATATTTCATGCCAAATTTTCTGACTGTAGACTTTAGATGCTAGATATATGATCACTTGCAAATGATTTGAGAATAAGAAAATCTGACTTTCTTTTAATACCTTGGTCTTTTTACAGTACTGAGTGGTACCAGCTTGCTCTGGTTGGTCTTCATTCCTGGGTAGTTCCATTATCCTGAATATTTATTTGCCTTTGCTGTAGAATGCGCATCCCAATTATTTCAATCTTTCCAGTTGGCAGATGACTTGATCTCGGACATTTTCACCGCTATTGGCTCAGTGACCCTCGCCTTGTTACTGATCCTCTTGCTGGCCATTGTTGCTTCTGTTGTCACCTCCAACAAAAGGGCAACTCAGGGAACCTACAGCCCCAGCCGTCAGGAGAAGGAGGGCTCCCGAGTGGAAATGTGGAACTTGATGCCGCCCCCTGCGATGGAGAGACTGATTTAAGAGCATTCTGTCCCTTCGAGATGGGGATCCACACACTGTGAATGTGATGACTGTACTTCAGGGGTCTCTGACATACCTGACGATGTTAATCTGCAACCGGGATTACACTGGAACTACAGGAATGATTCCTTTAACCACCTTAAAGACTTTCACAGTGGTTCCACTCAACACCATTGTTTTATTATGTTATATCACCCAATCGCGAAAAAAGTCTGTGCCAGTAATTTCAGCCTTATAATTAGCAAAAAATCTTCCAGAGAATGAAGTCTTCTGAGCAAAGCTCCAGTGTCTATCACTGAAACTCTTTCCTGTTTTCAACCTGGGGACAACTTTTAGTTTTCATTTTAGGTTTCTGTACTTTCTGTAGTTTCTGTGTAAACATATGGCAGTTTACACAGAAACTGTAGTTTCTGCCATATGTTTACACAGAAACTACAATAAAAAATTGGCTACATTTCTCACTTCTCCTATCATGTGGTCAAAGGTTATTGTTGTATACCAGCGATGGGATACTTCTGTATACTTTTGTCCTTCATTCATGGATTCAGAGAAAGCCATGGGAATGACCTGTGGTTCAAAAAAGTGACCCAATGGCAACAAATAAAAATCGAAATCTGGTTTTTCTCCTTTCTGAGTACTTTTTGCATTTTTGTGACATTATGTGTGACAAAAGTAACCTCTGGGAACATTTGAAGAACCTGTGTACGAATTAGATCTTTTAACTAAATCATCTCAAGTTGGTTACATTTTAAAATTATTACTCTTTGAAAAGGGTTGGTTAAGTCAAAACGCTTCCTAGATAGAAATCAAAACAGGAGGAAAACTCATGTTCTCAAGTTCGAAAAATCAAGTTCTTTTCTTCCAACTGCTTTTAGGTAAACCAGTGCCAAACAGTGACATTGTCTAAAGGTAAGAACTCCAAAGTTAAATGTGTGCACTTTAAGGTGAATGTGTATAAGACTATGGGGTGTTTGGAGAAAATGCTGGGGCTTCTATTTTTTTATTTTTTTCTACAAAGCATCTGGTTATCTTTTTATATGTGCTTTGAAATATATGAAACATGCTACTGTTGTAGAATATAAATACAATTTAAGAATAGATGCCTATATATTCTGGGCATATGCTCAACATGTCTAATGACATGAATTTTTAAATCTGGTCTAGAAGAATTCATCCATCTCAACTATTCAAGGATATCATTACAGAAAGTTCCCTTCTCTTCTACATCATCAGTTTTCCCATTGTCCTGGGGCATCCCTATCAGCACCAAACATGCTGTCCTATTTCCTATTATAAAAAAGTTCTCTTCCGTGGCCCTCATCTCCCTCCAGTAACCACCCCATTCCTCAACCCCTCTTTTCAGCAGAACATCTACAAAGGAGTTTTCTGTATTTTCGGTTTCCCTTTCCTTTTCTCTCATCCTCTCTTGAACTTAAACTAATGTGGCTTTTCTCATCACCGCTCCATGATCTCCACATGGTCAAACACAATGTCCAGTCCTCAGTCCTCAGCTTACCTGACCTCTCTGAAGCATTTGAAAGAATTGTCACTCCTCTTGAAATATTTTCCACACAATGGGACACCATTTCATCTTGATTTTCTTCTTAACCTCACTGTCTATCCCCTCTCCATCTCTTTTGATAGTTTCTCCTCATTTCCTTAAACTCTGGTTTATTTTTTTTCCATGCTGTTTATCACCACCTGAGAGGTTGCGTATTTTGTTGTCGTCGTTGTTCTCAATTTTCTCTATCTAGAATTTAGGTTATATGAGGATAAGAACTATTTTTTTTTTTTTCACTCCAGTATCTCTCACCTAGAACAGGCCTAACCCATAGGGAAAACACAATAACTATTTTCTGGATAAATTAACAAATAATGAATGAATGGTGCTCAAATTTGTACCTGCCACCAGAGAAATCCGAAAGTGCCCAAGATTTGTGTGGGCTGTCACTGGATGCGCTGGTCATGAAACTATCATGGCTCTGTAGCCTATCTAATGTCTTACTCAATCTCAGGCTTTTTTATCCATATCTAATATTGCTTTAAGTGTAAGTTCAAGAAGAAGCATGTCTCCAGTGTCTATGTGTGAAGTATACCATGAGCTATATTTATTTTTGCATTTCATTCGATACAACTTCTTAATAGAAGTTCATATGGAAAAGAAAAGAAAGAGCTCATGCTTGAAAAAATAAGTAGCTGAGTTAAACACACACACACACACACACAAACTAAAAAGATCACAGGATAGAAAATGGTTCTATTGGCTTAATTAATCTGAGTATTTGCTGTATTCCAGTATCTAGCTTAGAGCTTTGCATAGGAATGTATGTCCAAATACACGGATAAGTGAGTGCATGCAGGCATGAATAAATGAGTGATTGTTTCCATGTGGACACTCAAGTACACGGACATTTACAGGCTGCCCCAGCAAGCCAGATCTCTTTATCTTTGAAAAAGCTAAATATTCAATATCTAACATCAAGAATGCTTCCAAATTGGCCCCATGAAGTATTTGTACTGAACTATCTTTAACAATGTAGACCTTGTTTTAGTGAAAAAGTATAGTATCTGCATAATCAATGATGGTGCAGCTTTTTAATTGAGTGTTTCAAAATTTGTGTTAGGAGTGGTTTCAAAGACCACAACAAAACACCACAGCAATTCCTCTCATGCTTATTTGCAATGTGACATTGCCACCCCTCCCATCCAGAGGAGTCTGTTTGCCTTCCCTTTGAATCAGGGCTGGCCTTGTGATTTGCTGTGGCTAACGTAATGCCATGGAAATGGTGCTCTGCCAGACATAAGAGGCTTGCAGCTTCTGGTTTCACTTTCCTGGAAGGCGACCCTCAGACTGCCATACTGTGAAGAAGCTTGGAATGAAAATAACATGTCAAAAGAGAGTCCCAGCCAAGCCAGATGTCCCTGCTGAACCTGGCCTTAGTCACCGTGCCTGCTGGTTGCAATCACTTAGTGATCCACATGAGAACAGCAAAGGACCCACCAGCTCAATCCACAAAATCATGAGAAACAGTACGTTGTTTTAAGCCATTAGGGTTTAGAGTGATTTGTTACATAGTAATAGATAAATGAAACACAATTATTCACATCAATGAGGCAACCTAAGGCATACGGCAATATGAGGTACTTCTTTGATTCTGATTTCTTTGCTTTTAGAACTGCTGCTCTGGGAACTGGTGGACTATACAGTATTTGTTTGTATAGCAACAATAACTAGTACATTATGAATAAAATATGACACCTATATGCCAGATTTCTCTCAGGATGGCAAATAAGGGTGCAGAGTCATTTAATCCAAACACAGGTCCAGGAGGCGCTGAGGGTCATAGTCCTTCTAGCACAGCTGTTTGCAGGGTTTGGGGCATAGTGTAAAGTGGACACAGCCGGCCTACTTCCTGCCCTAGGGTGAACCCTGGCCCAAGGTAGCCAATGTAAAAGGCACACATCTGGTGTGAGTTTACAAGGAGTGACAGGAAGCCTCCTTCAAGTGGACTCTCATGTGGCTTCTGTAGTCACAGTGAGTGCAAAGACAAGCAGGAAATAACAAATGACTGTGACTTAAATCAGCTGTCAAGACTTCCCCTATTTTATTCCTAAATTACCACCGCTTAATAGATCCTCTTATTTGAGACTGAGACAGACATGGTCCCAGAGTCTGGCCCTGTGTAGCCATAATTGTTATTATCATTACCAATTAGTATTATCTACAGTAATTGAAGAGTAACAGTAATAGGGAATAGAGGTAGAACTAGAAGGCATCATAGCAATGATAATAATGATTACTATAACAACAATGAGGGATCCCTTCCTGAGCCCTCGCTAGAGGCCAAGACTATCTTAAGCTTGCTGCACTAAATGCATTATGTCTCATTTAGACCTCATAACAGCCTTTGAGGGTGAAACTTTTATCTTCATTTCACGAGCCTTTGCAGACAAAGAAACATAGTTTTAAATTTCTGAAATGCCCCATTCAGGTGATCTGAGCTTAATCTGAAAAATGGGAATCACCCCTGTATTGCACTGGCACATCATGATAACATTATTGGAAAATGCTTAACTGCAAGTAAGCACACAATACATAGCATCCATAGCAGCTATGATTACTATTCAGATGAGATGAAGTGTTAGTAGGACAAATGACAAGCAGCAGTCATGTTTAAATGGTTTCCACACTCCCACCTCCTACTTTATCTGCCAGACAAACCAAATAGGTAACTCCTTTCCTCCTATCCTCCTTCCCATCTGTCTTATAATGTGTTTGTAAAATAAGCAGGTTTTGTGCAGAGAAAGATAATTTTTTCATGTCATTCCCATAACTCTGAATTGCCACATGATGGTGGCCCCATCCAACTAAAGAATTTAATTCATCTGTAAGAATAAAATAAATGGTACATACCAGTTGTATATCCTCAATGAAATTGTCAGAAATAAATCAAAAGGTCTCAGGTCTCTCAGACCTCCAAACAACTAATGATAGAGGTTTTTTTTTTTTTAGTTGTACATTGTAGAGATGACTTTATTATTATGGTTTTTTTGGCCTTTTTAGGGTTACTCCTTAAACCACTTTGGATAGAAAATCACCATCATCTTTTTTCATTAACAGCAAGAAATATTGGCCTATGTATCTTGATTCAAATCATCCTTCTGATAATGATTAGCTAGCCAACTTTCAACCTGGTTTTATGCTCTGCAGGGGCATATCTGGAGTGAATATGACTTTTCAAGTTTCATCCTGCTTTCAGCAAAAGTGGAGTTTTTACTGCTGTGCATGGCATTGAATAGTGATGACAAAAATGCATGTTTCCCATTTAAACTGATTATCCTATGATTTGGTACCCAGGCTTTGCTTTACATGGTTCCAGAAACCTGGGAATAGCATCTGTCTAATATATTTGGCAGTGCCTGCCTGAGCACAGCTGCTTTAATCACCAATCACAGGGTCTCCTAGGATGGGAGACAACAATCTCCCCTTGAAAACTGCTCCCAAATCCAAATCTTTCAGTTCGAAGTGGAGCATCTTTTAGAGGTGCTCGTGGTTTGCAGCTTGAGGCTCCTGGCTCAAAATTGAGCTCATTCATGGCTGAAATAAGGCAAACTGAATGGAAGCAAATATAGGTGTTATGAAAAGTCCCTACAGTATGGGAGCTCCTGGACGCCATTTTGACTCAATCCTTCATGTCAAAGAGTTGGCTTCAGCATGAATTAATTTATTCAGCTACATGCTCAACATCCAGCTTTGTATGGTTGCAAAAGTCTTTTACCATATGAGGCAGGTGGTCCACAAGACAACTTCTAGGTTAGCTTTCCCATACAGAGATCATTCAAAAACTCTATTTTTCAAGGTCAGTCCCATTTTCTAATGCCCACTTTAAAAAGAAATTGCTCTACATTTGAATCATTTGGGGATTTTTTTTTTTTGTAAAATGTAAATAACTAGCACTAACCACCCAGAGTAGTTTAATTTGAAAATATTTTTTGCATAAAGAAAAATTAGGTTAAGCCGAACTTTACCTTAATTAAAGGTTAAAAATCATAATAAAATTTTTCTTTTATTGGGTTTCCAAAGTCATTAGGTTTTTCAGGTCCAGAATATAGATATCCCATATAAA